TGGCTCAGGCAACATTAATTTAAATTCTGAGTCAAGTTGATTCGAGGCCATTTGAAGTAACTAGGTTTATGACCTCAAAAGCATTTTATTTTAGATGTAACATAAGGCCCATTAAATCAGTAGGCTATAGATTAGTAAATATATATGAAGGGAACCTTTCTAACTGCATTTTTTACATTTGACTGTTATTTGAAAGTCTTTTGTGATTATTAATTATGTTTCTTTCTGTTAATCCTATAATAGATTTTGACCGACCTAGTGATCACGAAGAAGCTTTCGCTAGAGACCTTGCAGAATTTCCCTCTTTAGAAAATGGTGCCGGGACAAATGATGATGACGACTCGAGCATCGGTATCCCCATCCAGCAAAAAAGGAAAAAAGAACAAACATGTTTGAAGATCGATCCCTCTTCTAGGCAGGGGAAAGAGAGACCATCCACTGCAGGGCTCTCCCTGCCCTTGACCAGTGACCAAACCTTTAATTTAGTGAGTGGGATTGCTGGGGATGTCATTGCAGCCGCAGTGTCTGCTGCCATCAAAGACCAGTTGCAGTCTGTGCAGCAAGCAGCCTCACACGCAGCACCCAGTTTGAGTGAGGAGACAGACACGGAAGAAGGTGATGATTTTGAACTGCTTGACCAGTCTGAGCTTGAGCAGATTGAGAAAGAACTGGGACTTTCACAAGGCCAAGAAGCTGAATCCCAGGAGAAGAAGAAACCTTCAGGCTTCCTTTCAAATCTGCTTGGAAGTCATTAACCTGGAAATTGGAGTTAGTAATGTAGAAGAAATGAAACATAAAACACACAAAATGAAATGCAAAAAAAAAAAAAAAAAAAAAGGAAAATTCTGAGCTGTAAGCTTTAATTATCACTTTAGGTGTGCTATAATTCCCTTATATAGAGTGAATTAACTGGATAAGTATCAGCTGATACTGATAGTGTAATGTTTTCGGTAGTTTATACCTCAGTGTAATAGCATGGAAATGAATTATGTGTCCACTGCAGTTGAGTGTTGGAGGTCAGCTGTTCAAAAAGAGTTTGGGGGAACTTTTTATCTTTTTGCCAAATATGTAATTTTGGATCCTGCGCCAAATTTTCAGCTTTTGCAGTTTTTGTAATTCTTGGTTGTCAATCATATATTAATGATTCACACACTAAGGGTAAGTTATGAGAGGATTACAATGAAAGTAACTAAATTTTGCCTCCTTCAATCATACAGAAAAGCCTGAATCCTTGCAGTTACTATTATATATGGTATATCTAATATTCTTGAAACACATTAACCAGCAGAACTGTCAGTTAAGGATGTGTGCAATGCTATCAAAAAACTTGATTTTATCCTTAAAACTTGTTTTTTCTTGGATATGGTGATGCATTTCCAACTTCCTTTTTTTTTTTTTTTTTTTTTTGCTCTTTTAGCCTTGTAGTGTTACTAAGCGGCATGCTGTTTGACTGACCACCTGCTGTTTTCTCTGATAGAGTGATCCTTGGCAGTGTTGCATATGGGAAGCCAGCTAGTACGTTTTCACATTTAATACGGTTGACATCCTGTCAGCTGAACAACATCGAGGAGGAGGAGGCAGGTGGGAGAACTTCTTACTTGGAATTAGGAAGCTGTGAAAGTTAGAGGTAAAACAAAAGGCCTTTTTTAGCTGCCACTTCCTTAATTCAAGATTTTGTGGGTATTTTTCTTTCTGAGACAGCTACCATCACTATAACTAAAGCTGTCTTGCAAGCTGTATTTTTTAAAGGCACTTAGAGTATCCAGTGAGATCATTTGCTATAGAGACACTCAGAATCTTCCTCTTGGTGTGTACTTTAAAACAAACCCAGAACTTAAGCTATTTTCCATTTTAAACTCCACACGTGCTCAGTGACTGGCATGGGATCTTAAGCAAGTATTTCATTTAACTTTTTCTAGTGCTTTTTGTTCCCCTATAACAAAACTGAGATGTAATACCAAGCAATAGTAATCAAAGAAATAGGAAGAAGTAAAATTAGTTTTAATAACGTGATGTAAACTGTTAGCAGAGTTGAGGGACCATGTCAGCTGCTAATACTACTGAAGTGATTTTCCATTTGCTGGCATTTTAAGAGGTGACTGGTGTCATCTAGGACCCTCAGAAAGTACAGCCCCGTTTATAAAAATCTTCCACTAACATAAATGTATAGGTAAACCTGTTTTTGAAGTTGAGTCCATTTTAATTCGTTTTGCTTTCTGAGGTGAAACAAAACAAAACAAAAAAAAGGCAGATGGCCAAAAATACTGTAGCTAAAGGAAAAAATGCTGAGATTTTTTTGACACTAGCTTTATTGTTGCCTGTGCTTTTGTGTCAGTAATGCATATTGACTGTGTTTGCTGTCCTTTATCAGTACAAAAGTGACCCTGTGCCTTCATTATCAAATCCATTATGAAATAAGTAGAAGCTGGATCCAGAGCCCACAAGATGCAGCTTTTGAAATCTTATCGTCACGACATGAAATGCAAGTATCTGGAAATGATTTAAAAAACATGGCCACGTGACTTGCACAGTATTAGTTATTAAGTTTCCTTTCCCCTGTCTGTCCTTCCCATTTGAAGAATTAAATAAAAGCAGATTTGCTAGGAAATCAGTGAGTTTAATGCCATTTACATTTTTTTTGGATGAGTTAAAAACACTGGTTCCTTGCTGTGCATTTAGAACAATCTGTACGCTTAGAAAAATATAATTTATATGTTGTTGATGCAACTTCATAGAATACCTAAACCAAGTGTGTTGCCTGTACAAGCGTACTGGTGCAAGAAGATTAAGTAAACTACAAGACAGGAAGAAATCGTGGAGGGAGCAATCCTTAAGGATCCTTTTTATGAAGTGGATCGATGAGGTTTGTAAGCCTTGCTGTCAATAGTGGCGTTAAGGACAGCATGCACTTTAGTGTTGTTTTATGAAGACTACTTGTGGTTATAAAAGCATATAGTGCAGGGCACTCTTCTAGAATAATAATTTCCATCAAGATGGAAAAGCAGTTGGGGGAGTTTCTCAGACATTTTGTAAATGATCCATTTTCTGGTTTCAACATAGAAAAGTAGATTTTTTTTTTTCTCCAGGGTGACTCTCAAATCATTGCAGAAAGTAAAACTAAGCAAAACTTTAAGAAGCAAATATCAGAATTCAGGGGCATAATTTCTTATTGGAGTGTCCTTCAGAATTTTCTTTTCCTGTTCTCAAGGTAGTTAATTACATAATATTTTTTATTCAGGCCCCCATATACTGTGTAATAGGAAGGAGGCAATTTCATATGCTTCCTGAAATAGCAGAAAGATGCTTAACTTTCTGCCAATAATGCCTGCTGAGATAACCTCTTCCCTCTCAAACAACCACACATAGGAAACGCTTTGCTCAGATATAATACATTCCACTACCGATATTTTCATAGCTGAAAGCAAAGAAAAGGTTTCTATCCTTTATAAGATCCCTTCCAGAGTGTGTTTGTTTGGAAATGACTTGAGGAACCTTACTTTTTGCTGTATTCTAACAGCAGCCACAAAAGAGCCGTTGCTGAAATATTCCTGTTCCTTAATCCACCGATGGTCCACAGCTTCCTTCCCACAAAGCATTCTTGTAACCTTCCCATCTCCCAAAACTAAATAAAAGGGTAGGGAAGAAGGAAAGTATGAGGTACATAGTTTTAAAATGTGCATTTGTTAGGCCAACTTCCTTTGGTACAATCTTGGGTGAAAGCCAGTACAACTGGCAAAAAGGTGTATGTGGAGGAGAAAAGGGTACGTGAGCCCATTACCATGAGGTGACATGGGACAGGATCTTGCACTGGGATCAATAGGGTCCCGTATCTGCCTACATGTCTGCTCTTCTGGTAAATTAAAGATAAAATATATGTAAATATATATTATTTGACATATATATATTTTTCCACTAGTGTGCTTAATATTCACCCTCCCTTGTTTTACATGACTTCTTCATGTAAAACATGTATCCAGTACCCCAAAACTTACACCTACATTAGGACAGGATCTATGGCCTTGACTTGACTTGAGAAAATTTCCCTGTGCACGATTACACCTATAGACTGAGTAATAGTTGTTCACTTGGTGGCGTCAGTTGTGTTAAATCCAGAATAAAAGCACCTGCTTTAAACATGGACAACTTTTTCGTATGTATGTACGATATATGCACTTACTTGCAATCCTTTGGTTTGTTCTAGAACAAAGTTATTCAACACCATGGAAGGGGAAGGGGATTTTTTTTTAACCCAAAGTAATAGGATTTCAAGATACTAAAAAATAATAATTAAAAAGTTCTATTTGCTTTTTGTTCGTTTTGCACTTTTCCCAGACTGTTTATCTAACCATTCAGAACAAATTCACTGTGGTCTGTTTGTAAAACCAATGCAACAGTCTGTAGGTGACATCTATGCAGGTAACCAGAAACTGGAAAAATACAAAGTATCTTTATTTAAAATACTTTGCAGCACTTTACCTGATTACTGTTTTATAAACATGCAATTATAATGATTGTTTGTAAAACCATTTAATAAATGTTAGTTTTTATCTTTCATTATATCTAATTGTATATTTGTTCTCAAAATAGGAGGAAGAAAAAGGCAAAAGAAAAAAAAAACTTAAGTTTTTGCCACTCGTTTCGTTTAGTCCTTTTCTTAATCTGATGTGAACCACTGTTTAATCGCGTGTCGGGTCGTACTGAATAAACATTAATCCCAGCTCTGGGCCGCAGACTCATGATTTGGGGATCGCTTTCACACGCGGAGCTCGGCTCGCCCCGCTCCAAGGGGAAGAAACCCCCAGGACAACGCGGTCCTTGGGAGCCGCTGGATCGCTCCCTGAGCGGGGACTGTAACGCGGAGCGAAATGGCGGTTGCGGGGGCGGGCCGGGCGCCGCCATGTTCGGCGCGGCCTCCGCGGCGCTGGGCGGCGCTGCGCTGCGCTGGGCTGGCGGCAGGAAGAGCCCGTCCCTTTCCGCTCCTTCCCGTTCCTTCCCATCCCGGGCTTCCTGTGTGGTAGCGACTCGGACGTGGCCGGTGGCAGATCGCGCTCCCGTTCCGCACGTGCGCAGGTGCGTGTCCCGCGCGGGCCGGGGCCACATGGGTACCCGCGGCCGAGGGCTGCGCCGGGGACGGTTGGGCCCTGCCAGCCGCGGCCCGCGCCTCCGCCGCTCCCACCTGGCTTCTGTTATTTTTGTGTATTTTTTAGTCATTTCATTAACTTCAGGGTGGTGGAGGGGAGGGTTGTTGCTTCTGGTTCGCGCCAGGAGCTCGTGGCTGTGCTGTGGGCTCTTCCAGAGGTGAAAAACGGGCGGTGGAAGGAAAAGGGGTAATGGGAGTGCTGGCCTAACAGCGCGAGATGTGGTTGCTCCCATCTGCTTTATGTAGCCTGGGTTGTAAGCGCTGTTGCCTGCTTGCTGCTCGGTTGCAGAGGTCTGGGGCTTCTAGGAGGAGTTCATGGTGCTGGCTGCCCTCATGGTTCAGCACCAGTTGGCTTTTGGCAGTGAGTACTCACTTGCACCTGAATAGGGAAATGTGTCCCCTAGTACCTGAGTACCTGAGGGGTGAGTGTGTAGAGGAAGGGGCCAAGCTCTTCTCAGTGGTGGCCTGTGACAGTGCAAGGGGCAATGGGTATAAATTGAAATACAGGTAGTTCCATTTCCGTGTGAGGAGGAACTTCTTTCCTGTGAGGGTGGCAGAGCCCTGGCACAGGCTGCCCAGGGAGGCTGTGGAGTCTCCTCCTCTGGAGATCTTCCAAACCCGCCTGGATGCCACCCTGTGCTCTGGGTGTCCCTACTGGAGCAGGGAGTTGGTCTGGATGATCTCTAGAGGTCCCTTCCAACTTTAGTCATTCTGGGATTCTGTGCGAGTGCCTCACCAGAGTAGCTAACAGTGCTGAGGGGTAGAAGGTGATGTTGACTGCACAAACAGTGCTCCAGAATGGATGTGGTTCTTCTTTTTTTACCCTCCATTTACTCTGATTTTGCTCTCTTGAAAAGCCTGTAGTTAGTGTCATACAGGCTTTGTGGAGATGCCCAGTGTGTGATGCTTGATGAAAAGTGCAGAGCTTTCTGCCTGCTGCCCTTTGGACCAGGAACCATTTTCTCATTCTGTGCCCAGCAGCTGGCAAGCCCAGTGAGTGCTGACTCACCATGAGATTACTCAAAGGCTGCTGCTGTGTGAGTAATGCTGTGTGTGATAGCAGTAACTGGGCCTTGCGTTTTCTTGCTCATTCTGGTATGTGTTCAGTGCACAGATTTATGCCAGAGCCTCTCCCTTACGCTCCTCGCTGGTGTCGTTCTGACCTGCTCTTCCTCGTGATTACTTGTCTTCATTCACAGGGTTCTCGCAGCTTTTCTCCCGTGTCTCCTCGCCGCGCTGTGCAGCCATGGCAGCCTACACGTGCATCACGTGCCGCGTGGCGTTCAGGGACGCCGACGTGCAGCGCGCCCACTACAAGAGCGACTGGCACAGGTACAACCTGAAGCGCAAGGTCGCCGACATGCCCCCCGTCACTGCCGAGAATTTCCAGGAGCGGGTCCTGGCGCAGAGGGCCGTGGCAGAGGAGCAGAACAAAGTCACCGCCACCTACTGCACTGTCTGCAGCAAGAGATTCTCCACTTTCAATGCCTATGAGAATCACTTGAAGTCCAAGAAGCACCTGGAGCTGGAGAAGAAGGCTGTTCAAGCTGTCAGCAAGAAAGTGGAAATACTGAATGAAAAGAACCTGGAGAAGGGGCTGGCCCCAGAGGGTGTGAATAAGGATGCAATGAACACAGCCATTCAACAGGCCATCAGAGCTCAGCCATCTTCTTCTCCAAAGAAGCTCCCTTTACCTCCCAGTGATGCCAGCAGCTCTCCAGTTTCTATGGAAAGCCCCAGTTTATCACAGAGTCGGGAACGATCTGAAAAGCCTCCGAGGCTGCAGTGGTTCGAGCAGCAAGCAAAGAAGCTGGCCAAAGAGCAAGCGGAGGAAGAGGAGGAGGATATGGAAGAAGGTAAGGCAGAAAACACAGCGAGAGCAGACAGGTTGGGCTATGTAGTCAGTTAGTTTTGTGTAAAAGCCTTTGTTAGCATCTTGGTGTACCTTTGCCTACTTGAAAGATTACTGCCTTGCTCGCTGCAGACCAGCGTGCTGGCACTCTGTTAGTACACCACTTTTTCTTGTAAAACCCCTTGATGTTGGTTAAGTTTTTAGCTTAAAAAGGCCTTAGAGTAGGCCCCTGCTTGCAGTCTGTGTCTTAAAGTGTTGCTACAGCCAGTTCTGTAAAATACTGGTGCTTGTGAAAGCTGGCTATGGACACTATTAATACAAGCAGTGCTTCCCCTGTAAAGTTTTGAGCAAAAGTTCATGTAGCAGATTGGCCTAGAAACGCTTGGGAAAAGCAGATGAAGTAAACAAAAATCCCATTGTGGTTGGTTGTTGTTGTCTCATAATTCATTACACTGATGTTCTGGAGGTGGAAGTGCTTTTTTTCATTTTATTGCCTCTGTCCATAAGGGGCAGGGGAAGTTTGCTCCTTACCTCCATGCTGTAGTACAGCTCTTCAGCCTGTCAGCATCTAAAGCAAAACTGGTTTATGAATTCCCACCACAAACACTGCCGCCATGGCTTTGCCTGTGCATTTAAAGCCCTGTGTTGGAAACTCTACCCCTGAAATAGCTGGAGCTTCAGAATTCCTACAAAAGGATTACTTTTAACCTGGGCGCTTTGGGTGCTCTGGTTTATAGTGTGGTGTGTCTACCAGAGCAGTGGTCTGGGTGATCCAACTGCAGCAAGGAAGCGGGAGTGAATGAAGGGGTAGCGTACTGTGCTAACATGATAACTGAAGTCATTGTGTGAGGCTGCTTAACGCCTCTTACCTCTTTGCAGGGGAGGCTTAAATTGCAATTTCTGGGGAATCTTTAGAGATCAAGACTGTCCTGCTACAAGAGCAGGAATGCGTGCCTCTGCACATGGACCTCAGCATCTAAAGAAGGAACCAGTGTGCACCTGTTTGGTATTGCTGTATTGGTCATAGCTGTAATGCTAAATCTCAGTGGGTTTCTAAATGTTAATTTACCTTTTAAGTGCTTGCCCAGAATGTTTCCTACAAGTCCTGTTAATTCTGTTTCAGATTTTTAAATATCTAAATCTCTGTTCTGTAACAGAGTTCCCCAGTTAGCAGCCTGCATCACTGCGAAGTGCCTTGTTCCCTGTTCTCAAATGCTATGCGTATGTGTGACAGTTGGAAGGGGACCAGCCAAAATAGCATACTGACAGTCACTTCCTGGTCACCTTAAAACTGTAGAGCTTTCTAGCAGCGCGAGCAGGTTGCTGCTTTGTCTGCCCATTTTTCTAATAAATAGTTAGCTGCTAAAGGCACTTTTAGTTAAATAAGGATGCAGATGAAACGTAATCTGCTGCTCTGAGCTTTAAGTATTTATTGTAGATGGGCAGTGGTTTTGTGCACTTACAGAAGGCCAAAATGGGGAGCAGGAGAAAAGAGCATTTTTCTGTGGGGGTGGAGCCTTATTCGAAGTCTTTTGTCAGGACCTGCAGAGAATCCTGTTGCTTATAGTTGGTGCTCAGTACTTCAGTAATCTTTCAAGTATGTGCAGTTATCACATGAGCTCTTGTGCTGTGACAAATCAAAGCTTTTCCTCTACTATGAATCAAGTGTTGATAGTTGAAAAAGTGAAGGAAAAACATCAAACCTGCCAACTTCTTAGTGGGCAGCAGCGAGCTTTGTTCTATATCTTATCAAGAAAAGTGTTGCATGCTGGTGTGTTTATTTAACTGGGACATGTTTTGTTTAGAAGTAATCATGTAAATCAACGTCTTCTGTTAAAAGGCTGGGAAGATATAGACTCCGATGAAGACAACGGCTCTGAGGAAGAGATGGAAAACGTGGGAGAAGAGGAAGAAGAGGAACAGGAGCAGGCAGCAGCTGGGAGCTGTCCTGCTGCCGGGGCCATTCCCGTCACGGACTGCTTGTTCTGTCCCCACCATTCCAAATCTCTCATGAAGAATGTGGCCCACATGACAAAAACCCACAGTTTCTTCATTCCAGACATCGAGTACCTTGTCGATCTCAGAGGCCTAATTAAGTACTTAGGTATGTCTTAAAACCCCCCTGGTTTTAATCAGGATAGTTACATACCCTGATTAAATAGCAGGTATTGCTTACTGTCACTTGGGTGCATGACTTAATGTATTCACTTCAAGTGTAACACCCGAGGGCCATCTAGTTCAGTGTTTAGATTGTTGTCAATGCCACAGGTTTTCTTGGGAGAGGGAGAAGTCCCTTCTGGGCAACATTTGACCACATACCCTGGAGGTAGCACTTGATTTTAATGCCAAGAAAATACTGGCGTGAAATTTAGGCCAAAACTAAGTATGTGCATGGACTGGCAAAACCTCTGCAGAAGGTTTTGTGTTTCTACTGATGCATCACATGTGTTTGCATCATTGGTTTAGACAGGGCTAAAAGCTAGGGGAAAAAGCTGTCTTCCTTCAGTTCTGCAAGTAATGACAGTAATGTAACTTATGCATGGGATAAAGGTTTCTTTTGGAAGCATGACATTTCTTATAGAAAGTATATAATGATTCACAGCTTCTCATACAAACTCTACTTTAATGCTTAAAATGACTTTGCCCTTGTTAAAGCCATATGGTCAAGCTGCAGAGATTGCAGGGCATTGAGTGAAAGGCTAATGGCTTTTCCCGAGGCTCTGCCTGCAGCCTGGGGAAGCCTACACCACAGAAATGTTACCTACTGATTAGGGAGGCTCTATTCAGTCGAATACATGTGTCATTTTTTTCTTTTATCCACAGGAGAGAAAGTTGGTGTTGGGAAAATCTGCCTGTGGTGCAATGAAAAGGGGAAATCTTTCTACTCTACGGAAGCAGTACAGGCTCACATGAATGACAAAAGCCACTGCAAGCTCTTTACAGATGGAGATTCTGCCCTGGAGTTTGCAGACTTCTATGATTTTAGGTAAGGACACTTCAGTGGAGCACAAAGAAGGACAAAGAAACATGAAATCAAAATCTGCACTCACTTGTAAAATGTTATCCTGTTTCTGACTCTGATGCCTATTTTGCCCAGATGCTTTGCAGCTTTTCTGGGTAAGTGTAATCTTCATGATTGCTTCTCCTCTGATCGCTAGTACTAGTCCTGCATGAAAATACATGGTGAATTCCTTATTTATTTTAAATTTAATCTTTACTATTAACTTAGATTTGAATGCATGAACAAGGTTTATAAAAGGATAAAAATATCCAGACTCTAGACCTAGTATCCACTGTGCTGTTCCCCCCACCCCCCTAAGTAGTTGCGGTTAACAGGACTGTTACAGTTCAGAGGCCTCTTGTTGAACTTTGTGTAACTTGCTCTACTTGAAGCTGTGTTCGTTTTGATTAGAAATTGCTCTGCTACTGTGATAAAAGGTGTGGATCTTTATGGAGCACTTTAGGGGTGCTTATGCAGTAAGCTGTGCAGAGCTGGTGGGTTACGGGGTCTTGGCTTGCACCATAAATAGCTGTTAAATATATAGCAACAGAAGTGTGCTGGGTTAGAGGAACAGGCAGAAGAAAAGTGATCTCCCTTAGCCTCTGCTCAGGTGAGGGTGTTACTGGAAAGGCCTGTCAAGCCCAGATAGGTGAAACACGGCAGTGCTCATGGCTGTAAAGTTGCTTCTGCTTCTCCCCACAGGAGCAGTTACCCTGATCACAAGGAAGGGGAAGATGTGGAGGTGTCTGGAGAGCTCCCAGCAGAGCGAGATTTGGAATATGACGATGACACCATGGAACTGATCCTTCCTTCAGGTAAGATTAGGATCTGTGTTAAATACATTTTTCTCATAGCTGCAACTATTATCCCAATGACAGATACTTTAGGTAAACGATTTTCCTTTGACAAGGGGAGAAAAAGTAGTTTTATGTCTAATTGTCTTTGTTTTTTGCCATTGTATTCTGTTATTTTAACATGTCAAGTTTGTAGATGTGTCTGCTGTATTACCGAAACTATTATACACGTAGTACAAATGCTTTAAATCCCTAAGAGCTTTCTTTTTAAACTGGACTTCAGCAGCAGCAGCTTTGGGACAGGGAGTCCTTTGCCTGCATTATCTCTTCTCTCATACACAGTTCACATAGACTATGTGAAGAGTTTGCGTGTTACAACTTGAACAGAATATAACTGAGAAAATAATGTAGGTTTTTCCGTGGAGGAACCTGGTACACTGGGAACTAACTTAAAGTAGTTTCCTTGGACAGCATCACGCTGGCCTTGTGGAGCCGCTTCATTTTACCTGCGATGTCCTCTCTGCCCTGGCCAGGTGCGAGAGTTGGGCACCGCTCCCTGCTGCGGTACTACAGGCAGCGCTTCGGCTTCGCCCGCACCGTGGCCGTGGCGAAAAACAAGAGGGCGGTGGGCCGGGTGTTGCAGCAGTACAGAGCGCTGGGCTGGACAGGCCACGCAGGTAAGGGACACATGGAGCTTTTCCTAGAGAAGGATGTTCTAGCATAGCATCACTGAACCAGTAATAGCTTCAATTTGTTTCTTTTTTTTTCTCCTTTTGATGAAGTTGCTTGGGTTTCATTTGAGTCTCTTCCATTCCTGATAACCCAAGCACAAGAGCTTGGAGAATGTTGTTCGTGCTTAAAATCCATTTTGGCTTCTTTGCAATCCGTTCAGCTCCTTAGCCAAATATATATTTGCCCCACTTACTAAGATGAGTTTTTAGGAGAATACGCTTTTCTCTGCCTATCAAAGCCCCTACTTGTGCCATTAAATAAAGAGCATAACTCATTCTTTGACTATTTGAATGGTTTTTCAGGTGGGAAGTAGTGCTGTGATTTATATCCATTTTTTGGAAATAAATGAATCTCACTGGAGTGCAAAGTAACTTCTACTTTTAACAACAGCTGTGGATATCCATAAAGAAAGCTGCTTTATCCCAAGAGGAAAGTGAGAATGTGCCAGCACGGGCAGGAAAATGTATTGGAAACTGCTGATTTAACAGTATAGTTGAGCCGTTTTGTAAATAAGTAGTAATTCTACAGATGTTTATTCCTTTTTCCTCCCTCTCTCCCTGAAGGGCTAGCCTCCGCTCAGCAGCGTGATATGCAGTATCTTCAGAGGATGAAGTCAAAGTGGATGCTCAAGATGGGAATGAACAACAACGCCACCAAGCAGATGCATTTCCGGATGCAAGTCAGATTTTGAGCTCCCCAGAGAGCTCAGAATGCAACCAGTCTTGCAGAGGAGGCCTTGATAGCTGCTGGTTGGAGGGTTCTGGTATTAAAATGCACTGGGTACCTAACAAATGGTGGTGTGTGAGCTGCTGTGCCTTCCTGCCTGAGAAGGTACCTTGAGGGAGCTTGTCTCTGCCAGTGAAATGATATTTGGCCAAGTTTAACCTTTTTTTTTTTCCAATTAAAAATTCGATTAATTCAATTAAATTCATTTAAAAATCAATAACCTTGCTACTTTGGTGGCAAAGTAGCCAGTGCTGTGCATAAGGATGCCTGGATATTCTTGCTGCCCATCTCTGCACCATTCCTATGGTGTCTTCAGGACAACTGCCACTGAGTAACTTCACTTTCCAATTCTGCAAAATGACTGAGACCAAAAGAAGGGCCTAGATCCAGGTATCCAAGGGGAATGTGTTGAAGGTGTTTGATGTTCTGGTGCTGGAAACGGCGTTAATGGTGTTGGACTTCTAGCTGGTACTATTGACATGAAAAAAATAAGAAAAAAGAAGGGTAAGAGAAGGGTTAATTGAGACAAACTGACAAAGTGTAACTCCAGGACTAATTTTGTCCTGTAAAATGGACCTTAATTTCCTAATGCTCCAGCTCAGGGCTGCACTAGTAACATACGCAGTATATTGGTCGTGCTGAATTCTGTGAATTTTTATGCGCTACAAACTGCTCAAGATTGTCGTAACTTTTAGGCCTTTGTCACTGTAATCTTGTGATAATTTGATGAAGATCTGCCGATTAAAACTCCGAAGTTACCTTTGACATTAGCCTCTGCTTCTCCCAGCAAGTGCTGGGAAGGAAGTTTGCAGAAGGAAAGGCACCTGGAACACGGCAGCTAGAAGCAGCTGCCTTCCTGCCGGCCGCCCCGTGTCCCAGGAAGGGCTGCAGACAGGTACAGAGCAAACTCCCTTGTTGCAGGGCTCGGGACCCAGTGCTGCTGCTGCTGCCCCCAGTGCAGTCGGTGCAAAAAACTTCCACGAAGCTCCCTGGTTCTTGTGACCTTCATGTAGGATGAGCAGCTTCACAGCGAGGGGCAGGTCAGGCCTGCTCTGTCACTGTGAAGGCAGCTGCTTAGCCCACTCCAGCATTGCTCTGGGCTCCCTAGTACGTGCCGTGCTTGGCGTGGTTTTTATGCCAGTTTTCTTCTTGCACAAGTATCCCTGGAGGGTAGGGGCCAACTGTTGTGAACTTTGTCAGTTGAATTGTGTGGATTCTGATGTTCTGAAATAGTGCACAGCGAGAGCTTTGTGTACTAAGTTCAGAAGCAGCAGTACTGCTGGCAGAGTAACACTTGAAAGGGTTTATGTTTATACAAAACTCCTAGGAAAGTGATAATTTAAAAATGGAAGTCCAGGCTGTGTATATTTGTTGTGTGGGTTGTAAATTTTGTGGGTTTTTTTCATTTTTTAAAGTCCTCTTACAGTGGAAATTTTTCTCGGCTCTTTCTCCTGAGATGAGAAGACAGTCTGAACAGTAGCGGAGGTTGTCCCTAGGCAGGTGCTGCATCACGTCCAGGTGACTCGCACACAGAAAGGAGCTGCACCCGAAGAGGGAGAACAGCTGTCTTCACTACGTGTGCCACGTGGGGGCAGGTTGGAGTGCAGCGAAACTGAAGCAGAAAAAAACATTATTTGTATAGATAGGGTGTCTTTACATCCAGAATCTTAACGTGGAGCTGGACTGATGAACGAATGCTGCTTTCTCACCCTCTTTTTCCCTGACAGGGCAGACTTAACACCCTTCTGTGTCCGTAGCTGCATCTCACTCACATCTCAACTTACTCTAGAGGCAAATCTACTCTGTTATTAAGGGCTTTATCTTCAAATGTAGCAGGTAGAGCCCTATTCTCCACTGTGCAGCTCAAGCAGCAGGAATGCTGAGACATCAGCTCCGTTTACTCTCGTGACTTGGCCATGGGGTGTGTATATACCTGAACTTGCAGTTCTGGTATGGATTTCTAGCACCAAGGACATTCCTGGGTTCCCTGTTGGGCTTCAGCTTCTGGCTCTAGGAACAACTCGCATCTTTTCTTGGAAGGTGGGGACTCCTGTGAGAGAGAGGGTCTATGCCCAAGCTACGTTGCTTTTGCACATGAAGCAAAAATGAAGTGAAATCTGCTCCTCCTTTAAAGCAGGCTGTAACTCTGAGCGGACAGCGGGTGCCCCACAAAGCCAGCCGAGGGCGTGAGGAAGCTACCTACACAGTTCTGTGGAAGCTGGTGAAAAGAGTCTGACAGGAGAACGTCATGCAGAATACTGGTAGGACAAGCAAGATTCACTGGTAACGTGATTAAAGAGTAGCACTGGACTGCTTTAAGTTGAGCTGCTATTGCAGCCTTGTGCAGAGCCAGGGAGAGCTCTGCAAGCAGGTGCCTTATAGCATCTGTGCAACAAACACAAGTGCAGCCCCAGATAGAAGGTGAGGCCTGAATGTGGTGACCTTGTCTTCCTTTCCTTGGTTATTTGGATTTTTTAAAATAGAAAAGAGGGCATCTAGTTTGCCTGTAAACATCTGGGCTTAGTAAAGATTTGGTGACATTTTTAAGATTCCTTATAGGAGTGTTGGTATCCCTTTTCCTGCCTTTCGGGTAGCTACCCACCCTTAAGTTTCAGTTGTTTACAGCCATGAAAGTAATCTTTTTTTCCCCCTTTGACAAGGTCATCTTTGGTCTCATGCAGTATTACTATTGCAGTAACTATCACTAAAGTCTTAACGGTCAGAGCAGTCATATGTGTTTACAACATATTCACAGAATCACATTCCCTGGATGACTCTTAATAAAGTATTCTCTATAATGCTCCAAAATCCATGTAGTTTCCAATGTCTGTTAGACATTCCATCCTACCGATCCTACTCAATTATTTAAAATTTCGATATTTTGGTTTTTCAATTCTGACATTGAAGTTGTCATTTTTTTTAGGGAAGATACATGAATGAAGTGCATTCCTGTAAAATACAGAGGAAGAATTGAAGAATTTCTATGCGATATTTTATATTTTAATCTTTAGCCAAGCGCTAGGCAGTGCTCCCAGGAACCTGGGAGTCAGTCGCAGCTGAAGCAGTGCAGTCCGGGCTGGCGCGGCCCGGGCCCAGCAGCAGCGTGTGGACGGTGCCCGCACTGGGCGCGCAGGCCTTGTGTGGGGCCCTCCCCTCGGGACCCACTGACCCAAACTCCTCTCTGTGTTCAGATGCTTACAGCGGGGTGCCCGATTCTTTAATCAATAGCCCAGCCGTTTGAGCTCTTTGTCACTAGACAGCTCAATACAGAAATGAACCTGATGTCTTTGAAGTTTTATTTAAAATGACTCAATCTTTTGGCCCTGCAAGTCCTCCTTTTTTTTCCCCTTTCTGCTGTGGCACAGCTCCCGTAGGCAATCCTAGTACAGCCATTAAAAAGAGCTGAGGTCCTGGGGCCTGGCCCGCAGCCAGAGCTGGATGTGCACAGCTAAGTTATTTGGGGTCATGAATACAGGAAATTAGTGTCAGCAACTGCACCCAGGCGCCTAAAACATTCATCCCCTCTCCACAGCAAGTTCCCTGTGACGTAGGAGTCCCCCAGGTAGCCCAAGCAGGGGCAAATTCAGAAATTAAGCTGCTCTTGGCTGTTCCCAGAGCTCGCTAGAGTAGTCCCAAATGTGCGCTCTCTTCCTGGATACTCATCCTAGATTGGAGTTCTGGATAGGTTTTATTTGTTTGGGTACATATATATGTAGATAACCTTGGCAAACAGCAAAAGGAAATCCATTTTAATGTGTCTTTCTGCCTGTAGTTTGTGTCAATGTGGGCCATTGTTCACAGCTCCAGTTCTCTCGTGACCATTTCAGTGAGGGATGTTGGTGGTTGGGCTCAGTCAGTGACACCCGCAGCTAAGAGCCCATCCTCTCAAGCAGAGAGGATAAACATCCCCTGTCCTTCCGTAGAGCCATCTCCTGGCCTATTGGTAGTGATGGAATGGATGTTCCTGAGGCCTGCGTGAGGCTCACACCCCGAGCGGAAGCTGTTGTCAGTGCCATTAGGGCTGTGCACGCTCTTCTTCACCATTTCCCTCTGTTTGTTGCCTAAAAACCAAACCAGGATTATCAGAGATAAAAATAAAATATGAAACCTGCAGCCCAGTTTGACAGATTTGAATGAAAAAGGAGCAAGGAGCAATATGGCCAGGGGAAGGGATGCTGCGTGGTCGAAGACCCACTGCGTGCTGCCTGTCTACAGCCTGCAGAAGAGTCCAGGGAGGCTAAGCCACTTGTTGAGTAGTTGCTGGATATTTGAGAAGGGTGCTGAAGAAGCTGGTGAGCTGTAAGTCAACCACATTTACTGCAAAGCCACGTGTAATGGCTCTGTTTTAGAAACAAACGTGAGCTGTAGCCACCTCTGCATTTCCTGGAGTATTATGGTATTAGAAGGTGAATGGCTGTCAAGTAGAGACTAATTTATTTGGTTTTTAATTCTTTTTCAACTCTGCTGCTGCTCTTATTTCTCCATCCTCACATGTGCAGGACTTGCTTTTTTCCCTCTGCATACACAACTTTATGTGGTGGCTGAAGGCTCGAAGGAGCTACCTGATTAACACAACTGCATTAAATCATGAGCAAGTTTCCAGCAAGTGTCAAAGGACTGACTTTTTCCTGGCTAATTGCAAATATTGCAGAACTCTTGCATGTTTTAGTCAAGTTTGCTGTCCCTGTGCATAACTCCTTTATTTGGTGATGAGAATCCAGCGAATCCCTGCTGATTTGGCTCAGGCCTGGGATGGGTTCCATGGGCAGAGGAGCTTAGGCTGGCTCTGTGTTTACCCCAGCAGTTTCCTACTCCATGTATTCACAGAGGTTATCGGTCTTTATAAGGAGCCTCTCAGTTCTGAAGGGCTTCAAGAGGCACAAACCGTCACTTCCTTTCTATGCAGCTTAGTGCAGTGCCTCACTTGGAGGTGGAACTTGGTTTCTCACCTCTGGTGATGTGTTACTGTTTTACTCAGAGGTGTAAAGCTGGGGAGCTGACACCACTGTGGGGAAAACGCCAGCCTCTCTCCCCAACCAATAGCAAATGCACAGATAGGCTTGAAATTAAGACTTGGAAATTGAACAGGGTACGAATGCCAGGACAGACCTCTAGCCTGCAGGAAGCTGCATTTTGGTTGTTACAAATGCAAAACATCTCTATTCCAGGAACAAGTTGTCTGCAGAAGTCAACCAAAGTTAACTGCAACCAGCTGGCTGAAAGCAGCCGAGGGCAGCTTATCAGGGTGGTAAGAGATTGGACAGCTTTTGCAGGAACCCAGCAAGGTTCCTGTCACAGCCCCTTTTGCTGCTGAGTGTGTGTGTGTGAGAGAGAGCGGGAGGAAACACCTCCATGTGGCTCCCGGGACACCCTGATTCACCTTGCTGAGGGCAGGCAGGCCCGTGGGATCTGCTCCCACTGCTGCCAACGCGGGCACGTGCACTGCACGCTCCGAGGCAGGATCTCTGGCATCTGCTGCCTTGTGTTCAATGGCTTATTGTGCCGAAATTGGAAAGGAGCCTGTGCTCAAAGACAGCACTGAATCACAGGCTAGAGTTTCGACATGGGAGGGTTTGCCCTGGGAGGCCCCGGGTAAGCTGGTAGAGAGAGAGAAAACAAAGCAAAACAAGCAAGGAAAGAGCCACAGCCTGAAAAGACTGAATTCTGATAAAAACTTTATTTATACGAAATGATGGCATTACCACCTAGCAGAGGCACTGCTGGCATGTCACATTCATCACACTGACCATTTCTTTTGTTGGGCATTTCTCTGGACACAGGAATGCTGCCCTAGCAGACCACGCTACTTGCTCTCTTTTAACAGGGATCTGCTCTTTAGTGGTGAGGAGACAGTGCAGAGGAAAAAATGTCAGTGATGACAGCAGTCTAACAAAAGGTGCTAGCGAGACGCCTGGGCACAGACCGTGCTCTACTCTTGCTGTTCAGCAAGGCGTCTGCCTTGGCACTGCTTCCATTTGCCCTTGCATGGGTGTCAAGGCGGGCAGATGGCTTGTGGGGGCCGGAGGGTGCAGCATTTCATGGGTGTTAGGAGCAGCCCTGTTCCTTCTTCCCGAGCTGCAACCTCATGCAGGGGAAGCGCTTCCAGCGTCAGGCGCCATATGGGAAGGAATGGTTGAGGCTGCCTGCCCCGGGGCTGGGGCAGGGAGTGTGCACCTCGAAACGCTGGTGCTCTCGCCCCAGCACCAGCTCCTCTCCCCGTGCAGCTGCAGCCCCTTTTCTCTTCTTGCTCCCCCAGCTCTCCTCCTAGTGTGAAAGCCCCGCTCTCTTTCGACTCTTACAGGTTAGCCAGGCTTCAAGCTCCTACAGATTCTTTAGCCAAGAGAAAACAGAGGTTGGTGTTTGTACCCCAAGAAGACCGGCATGCGAGGTCTGAGAAATAGCCAGCTGGACCTAGTGCTCCAAATCCAGTCGTCATAAAACCTGTGGAATTTTCCTAGTCTTCCAGGAGAAACGTGACAACTTTTTTAGACTTGTTCACCCACAAAGCACAGAGTTTCCTTTTTATTTCCTTTCGTTACAGACATCTTGTCTGATTAGATAGGAATCAGTGGTGCCCCTATAGTTGAGCTTGGTAGTTCTGTAGTATAGATCTGTGTTGGTTCACCTGGATTGGTCTTTTATTTGGCTTCCAAGTACAAAAGCCCAGCTTGTTAATATACAGAGCTTTATTAATGATATTAATGATCTGAGGTTTAAAATCTCCCTTGGAACCACATTCTGCAAGTGATAATGAACTCAAAAGTGTTTGTATTGAAAATATAGCCCTGTAATCAAAACTTTTTTTTGTATACTGGTTGTGTAGTTAAACAAACCTAAAGCAGTTGATGAAGGAAAGGAGGAAGAGCAGCTTGCAGGACCTCAAGAATGACGCTGATCCAAGTGATCAGCATGAATTATTTGTGAAGGGAATTGTGCTAAGTATATATCACAGTAGGCACAGTACTGCAGACTCGGTGGACATTTTAAGCAGTGCAATTTTGAATAGGCTGTATTTGTGATTATTGAGAGCATTTTCCATGATCTGGGCAGATAAGCAGGCTCCATCCGCAATGGCAGAGCTACTTGCTCCACTATCCTGACTTTCCTCCGCATCCTCCGTAGAGGCATAAGACTTCTGAGGACGGGT